TGGCAGTCAAATAGTTTATTTATACATATTTTTCCTTGAATATGATTTGCTTTGAGATCTTTGAGGTGCTTAAGATGTATGTATTAAAAAGCTGACTAACGTGAACTTCCACCTCCTCCCATAGCTCAATTTCTAGTAGTGCATGTATCAGTTGAGACCGCGATCCTCTCCACCGTGTGTATTGAAACTCTCATTAGCGGATATCGAGCTCCCTCGGTCCCAGGTTCCTTTGTCAATATTTTACTTTGGAAAGAATCGTATTTTTTAGCTTGTCATGTATCTTTAGGTGACAGTTTTCAATTTTTCCGGATAGGACTAAAAACAACTTTAACTCTGGAAATAATATTCTAGTTTTAGCTTGTCTGGTATCTGTATGAGTGACTTTTTTTTTCAATCTGCCGAACTGAAGTAGAAAATACAAATTAGTTACTTTAAGACATGTATGCAACTCTTTATAGAGATGCTGGCACTATAAATTGTCTTCTTTTTCGTCGTTAAATGATAATTTTTCCAGAAGAAACTAGAACTTAGAAAAATAGACTCGTTCAATTCTGGCAGACCAGTTTATTTGATTGTAAATTTGCCAAATATCTCTTACGATAAATGTAGATATAAAAAGATGTGTGACTGACATTTTGACTGAGCAAAACGTCCTATGTAATGACAATGCATTGGTTATTAAAGACTTATCGCAAGCATGCCATAACTTGTGATCACAAATAGACCATGAATTTATGATTTTAATGTTAGACTTTAAAGATCTTAATAGAATTTACATTGTTAATAAACTGTTTACGTAGCGAAAGAACAGGTGGTATAGCTGTGCACTTGATTTATCAAACACCGGATAGAGAAATGAATATGTGATTTTGTTAACAGTCTTTGCCTTCGGTAATGAAACTACATTTAAATAAATTAAACATACAACTTGATTTTCTCACAAAAAAAGACTCCCGAGAAATCGAAGAATCCAAATTGAAATGCCCAGCAAAATTGTCCTAGAAAGGCAAATTGTGAACATTGAGTATCAATAATATTCAACTTCTCGAGGTCATGGAATATGAAGTTGATTTTTTGTTCTTGTTTTTCTGCCCAAAATTAGTCGAAACTACAACTAATTTATTCATCAACGGATCTTCTTTACATGGAAGCCATCAGGTCATAATTTTGGCGGCTAGAAATTCTTATGGGCCCGTGACCGGCCTGAGTTACTTTGAATCGAAAATTGTAGTTCTTCATTGAATGACAATAATGAAGGCTATCTGAGAGGAGGCTGGGGCTGGGGCTGGGTCCTACCTATTAGTGAAAAGGGTGACTGTGGAGAATATTGAAGGCTGAAAAGAGATATAAAAGGCTGCTGTATCATGGATTAATTAGACTTTGGTAAAACCTCGGTTTTATCTCCCCCCGCAAACCTCTTTTACGGGCCATCAGAATATCAATTTCTGACTAACTCGTTCCCATGTCACTCATGCGTCAGAAGTTATACTTTGTAAATAAGAAATAATTTCTGATCATTATACATAATGAGAAAAAATAGATGTAAATTTGTAGTAATAACAAATTCTTAACTAAAATGAATGGTCAGAGGAGACTTTGAGATACATGACTAACTTTATACCGAGCAAACTAATCACTGTAGCGTTAATTGAATTAAAAATGGTTTACTCCAATAGAAATTTTTTTTCTTGTGGCTTCTGTGGGCATTGGCCACAAATACATGAATACACTTTAAATCATGAAACCTAGCGGGGGAGGGAGGGGGAGAGAAAGGGATATTAGACAACTGGCTAATAAATGAAAAAAATTTTGGAAAAGAATTGTAATGAAACCATCCGTCCTGTTTGATAACATTTGTATGTGAACGAATTTGGAAGGAAGATTTTAAAATAACTGTTGTAAAAGATCAAAAGATGTGCTGTCGCCTCTTGTAAAGGTAGATTTGTTCATCGTGGTTATGTGGTCGCTCGTTGTAAGTATTCTTAAAAGAACCTTTGATCATTTGTGCCACGATATAGAGTAACTATCAATTTCAGAGTAAACTCATCACCAATAGAAGGATTGTCTTTAGACCAAAATATATTCAAACCCCAAGCAGCTTTCGTAGTAGGTGGCCTGTCATCAAATTCCCGGAATCCACCCCCATAGATATCGTTAATTTGACCAATCTGATACATTCATTGCTACCAATTAACAAATAGATTCCAAGTTGCCGTGCGTTCAGTAATAGATCACAGATGACGTCAAAATGTGGTAAGAATAAAAAAGTGGCACATGAGGCGCAGCCGAGTGTGTCACTGATGTTCTTACCACATTTTGACGTCCTCTGTGATCTATTACTGAACAGACGCACGGCAACTTGGAATCTATTTGTTTTATATAATAAAGAATTAAAATATACGGAAAAAAGTGTTAACGATGACGTCATCTATACGTCTGTCCTCCAATAGATCATAAGTGAGAGCCAATCAGAATGCGTACATAACTGAGCTTATTATATAAATGGATGTAGATAGCCTTTAAATTACCATATAGCTTACTTTATCGTAATTCGCCTCTTTTTAAACGCTGAGCCAGTCATTTGATAAACTGTAATCAGAAAAAGAGAGGTTTGACGGTACAATGGTTCAAAGGAATTTTAACTCACAGAATTCACTGTTATTTGGAAAAATAAGTGATAACTTAGAGGTGTGCATTTTGTGCATAAATACGGTGTTTTGAAGGGCAATTCAGCTGTTAAAACGAAGGCCTTCGTTTTCCCGCGCTTTTTGTATTAATCCCATCATGCACTGCGCTACACCAGATACGCCTGACTACTATTTGGCGAGGAGTTGTAAAATGTCTGTCGAAGTGTCGTGGACGATGCTTAGTTTGAAAAATCACTGTTATTCGCGGCGCCTTTGCGGCGCCTTTCTAGCTTGGTATCAACAGCTGTCTATAAACGTCTTGCAAGCAGCGTTTTTCACTCGTGTAAAGCCCATATCTATGGCCTACTTCGTGCAGATTGATCCTGCTATGAACAAATGTAGTTTGGTTTCCATGAGAGACACAACTTCCAAGGAAAAATGTGAGCTCAGTTGTTTACCGATGACAGCGTTTGATGGGTCATTTATTCAAGGACTGCGTAGAAAGGTGTATCCGGTCGGTTGTAGAGTTATAAAATGCTCATTTGTCATGTTCGCTCACATAAACGTCCAGTCCTCCTTTAGATGAATTATTATTATTATTATTATTATTCAGACTGTGGTTTTGCCGCTCTGCGAGGAAATTTTACCGGACTACAGCGTGATTATCCTTCTTAGAAAAGCAACGAGCCTGAGCGACCAAACATCCTCGATGCTAAATCGTTGATTAGCTGTCGCATTCACCTTCATTTAGGATCTCACCCTTGACGTGTAGGTTGTTTACATGGTGAGTGCTTCACACTATATTTTACCTTAAAATTTTTGAGGAATAATTTGCCTATGATAGCTTTTGCTTGGATAACTTAAATTTAAAACGGGATACTTTCTAAAACACGCGTTACATAATTTTGTTCAAGGATCAATCTAAGGTGTTGTGTGGCTCTTTTACCAAGATCTTTATATATTGTTATACCTTTTATATTTTGGCGTGACTTTCACGGTAGGCATTTTCAGTCGGCAGTTTTCCTTTCTAATTCTGATTAAGGGTGATGTAATAGATCAGGGTTCTCAATAGGATTTGTAGTAGGTATGTACACAACTTTATGCAAGCATCTTTGCCGAATGAACAAGAAACAATGGTTGGGACAAGTAGACCATACAGTAAGGTATTATGAATCCCAATCCAAGAAGGGATCAATTACCAGATACCTTTTAAAGTTCCTGTAGAAACTGCAATTATATTGTTCCTAACTATAATAATAAACATCAAGTTCTCTTCCACTG